GTAATGTATTGGCATGGATAGAGGATTGGTTGACCAGTAGAAAGCAAAGAATAGGGGTAAATGGGTGTTTTTCTGGTTGGCGGTCAGTGGCTAGTGGTGTGCCTCAGTGATCAGTATTGGGACCTCAATTGTTTACAATTTACATAGATGATTTGGAGTTGGGGACTAAGTGTGGTGTGTCAAAATTTGCAGATGACACTAAGGTGAGTGGTAGAGCAAAGTGTGCAGAAGACACTGAAAGTCTGCAGAGGGATAGAGATAGTCTAAGTGAGTGGGCAAAGGTCTGGCAGATGGAGTACAATGTTGATAAGTGTGAGTTCATCCATTTTGGTAGGAATAACAGCAAAATGGACAATGTTTTAAATGGTAAAAAATTGCAGCACGCTGCTGTGCAGAGGGACTTGAGTGTCCTTGTGCATGAATCGCTGAAGGTGGGACTGCAGGTGCAGCAGGTAATTAAAAAGGCAAATGGAATTTTGTCTGCCATTGCTCGAGGGATGGAGTTTAAAAACAGGGAGGCTATGCTGCAGCTGTATAGGGTCCTGGTGAGGCCACACCTGGAGTACTGTGTGCAGTTTTAGTCTCCTTACTTGAGAAGAGATATACTAGCACTGGAGGGGGTGCAGAGGAGATTCACTCGGTTGATTCCAGAGTTGAGAGGGATGGATTATGAGGAGAGACTGAGTAGACTGGGATTATACACATTGGAATTCAGAAGAATGAGGGGAGATCTTATAGAAAGATATAAGATTACGAAGGGAATAGATAAGGTGGAGGCAGGGAGGTTGTTTCCGCTAGCAGGTGAAACTAGGACTAGAGGGCATCGCCTCAAAATAAATGGAAACAGATGTAGGACTGAGGTCAGGAGGAACTTCTTCACCCAAAGGGTTGTGAATCTATGGAATTCCCTGCCCAGTGAAGTGGTTGAAGCTACCTCGCTGAATGTTTTTAAGGCAAGGCTAGATAAATTTTTGAACAGTAAAGGAATTAAGGGTTATGGTGAGCAGGCGAGTAAGTGGAGCTGAGTCTCAAAGATCAGCCATGATCATATTAAATGGCGGGGCAAGCTCGAGGGGCCAGATGGCCTACTCCTGCTCCTAGTTCTTATGTTCGTATGTTCTTATGTCTTTTGGAAACAACAAGCTTGTATTCACTTGAGTTTACAAGAGTAAGAGGTGATTTGATTGAAACAATTAAGATCCCGAGACATCTTGACAGGATGCACGTGGAAAGAATATTTCCTCATCTCTGGAGAATCTAGAACTGTTTAAAAATAAGGGGCTGCCCATTTAGTACAAAGAGAATGAGAATTTATTGCTAACAGAGATCCCAAACTTTTGGAACTCTCTTCCTCCTAAGTGGCTAGAAATAGATTCCTTGAATATTTTGAAGGCAGAGGTAGATAAGTTCGTGATAAGTAAGGGGGTGAGGGGTGACTGGGAATATGATCTTATTGAATGACAGAACAGGCTCAAGGGACTGAGTGGCCTACTAATATGGCAAAAGTGTGAGGTGCCACAGCCACCTCAGTTAAAACATAACCCAAAACTTCATGACTCATTTAGAACCTCCACTTAGTAATTTGTCAGTTGCACTGCTTTAAATAACAGTGGAAAGACTATGTCACAAATTCATTTCATGTGTGAGAGAGTCTGTAGGTTTGAGTTATAAAGGAGAGGCTGGATAGGCAGGGACTTGTTTTTTCCCTGGAATGTCAGAGACTGAGATTTTAGAGGTTTTCATGAGGGGCATAGATAAGGTAATTGCCAAGGTCTTTTTCCCAAGGGTAGGGGAGCATAGGTCTAAGGTGAGAGGGCACAGATTTAAAAGGGAACTGAGGGGCAACTTTTCCACAAGGTGGGTGGTGCAAATATGGAACCAGCTGCCAGATGAAGTGATAGAGGAGAATACAATTACAAAATTGAAAAGACATTTGGACAGGTACATGAATAGGAAAGGTTTAGAAGGATATGGGCCAGACACAGGCAAATGGGACTAGTTCAGTTTGGGATACCTGGTTGGCATGGACGACTTGGACTGAAGGGTCTGTTTCTGTGTTGTTTAACTCTCTACAAAATCAAAGATGTGTGTAATGTGTGCATATAGGTGTGACATAGTGTGTTTATGTGAGAGTGTACGTTTTAGAGAGACGACAGACGCCTCACTTGGGTGAGTGACATTGTGTGTATTCACCAGTAAATGGGGGGAGGGGAGAATAAGATTTTAAGTGTGGTGAGTGCGTGTGAGAGAGGGAGGGAGAGACTGAGCAAACAGTTTACACTTGGGAGTCTCTAGCTATGTCTAAAGTGAGGATGAGAGAAGCAATGCTGGACCTGTACCTCACGGCCATTTGCTCCAGTATCGGCATTCACAGTATCAGTTCACGTGTATCAATAACAGAAATGCTAACTATACAAGACGGGGATGGGGGGAGGTGGGGTCCTGGGAAACTCAGCAAAAAGTCAGAGCAGTAAAACTAAATCGGAGAAAGGGTTGGGGGGGGGGGGGGAAGTAAAATTATAAAAACAAAGTCCCCTTAAAACAAGCGATTCAGTGTCCGCAGCCACACACACAGACACAGACAGTTCTACCTTCAGCAGAGTCTGAACAGTCATTGAGAATCACTTACCCCTGAAATGTTGGCAGACTGTTCAGCGTTGAGGCTGCAGGTCAGTTCGGTTCTAGGAGAGGGGAGGATCCAAGAGGCGAGCTGCTGTTATGGGAGGTGGGAGCTAGGCAATATAGCAGTGGGACTGACGCCTCTCCGCTGTCTCTAGCCTCCCTTTATACACAGTTTAGGCTGGGTCGCCCTGGTGGGAGGTGTACATTTATACAATGACACGGCCGTCATTAAGTTGCGGCTTTTTCTGACGGGCTGTAATTTTTTTCCTTGTCGTTTGGGGCAGCCAGACAACTCGTTGGACCGAATCCAACACTTTGGTCATTGAGAATTTTTTTAATGGTTTTAAAAATGTGTGAGTTAGAGCGAAACAGAAAGTAGTAACCCGGAGTACTCAAGACAGAACAGGGTAGCGTGCAGTTTCTTTTTGAAGTTTATCTTTCCTTGTCTTTAGATGGGGATCGAAGTAAAATTCATCTTGAGAGACGCCGGAACTGGCAGAATTAAATCTTCCAGTGGCTATCTCGGTATGTTTAACGCGCAAAGCGCAGACTTGCATTTAGATAACGCCTTTCGCCACATCGGGATGTCACAGTGGTAGGGCGTGCTGTCCCTACCGTGTGGAAGCAGGCCATTCGGCCCAACGAGACTACACCGCCCCTCCAACCATAACCACCCCATCCCTATAACCCTGCAACCCTGCATTTCCCAAAGCCAATCCACCTAACCTGTGCATCTTTAGACTGAGGGAAGAAAACCCATCCAGACACGGAGAGAACGTGCAAACTCCACACAGATAGTCAGTCAGGCTGAGAATTGAACGTAGGTCGCTCACACTATAAAGCAGCAGTGCTGAACACTGAGCCACCGTATCGTTCAAACACAGTTTCAATCAATTAAGTATTACTTGAAGCCTGGTCACTTTTCCAATGTAAAAATGGAGAAGTTCCCAAACAGGATAATGAGCAGCTCATTTATTGCCAGGAATCACAGTCCAGGAATAGATATTGGCCAGAACACCAAGGAAATGACCCATGTTCAAACAGGGATTTGATTTCCAATCATCCAGGAAGACTAGCAGGGTGTTGCTCTAACATATTTTGACTGTCCAGCAACTGGACTGTTAGCCTACATTTGGGATGAAAGTGCTACCAGGCATATTGCCCTGAAAAGAAGCAAAGGGGCTGTACAAACACTGTATTTAAACTCCTCAGTTCAACAAGAAAATCTGGGGGTGAAGAGAGGCAGTTGTTGTCAAATTCATCAGCAGATTGAGCAGGTAGTCTGAGGATTCAAAGAGGCAATTGAAAGAGAATATATAAACACAAGATCTGGGGACAGATATTTATAAAGTGGGTTATTGCTAACCTTATAAAGGTCAGAATGCTGTCATATGCAGTGGATCACTTTGAAGAGCAATGTAGACAAACACGGCAGTTTATTTTGCAGAGAGCAGAAAAGAGATGAGTGACCGTTTAATGTGTCTCTCGTGGTTTTGGTGGAGATTGAAACATTGACTGGGATGTTGAGAAATACTCTCTAATTGTCCAATAGTGTTGACCGGGATCTTTTATAACTAATCTGAACCATTTGAAGAGGCAGAGATAGTCTTCAGAATATCACAGAATTGTTCCAGTGTAAGAGGAGGTCATTTAGCTCCTCACGTCTGTGCTAGCTTTCTGAGTATTATGATTTAGTGCCATTCTCCTGCTTTTCCCCCATAATCCTGAGTATTGCTTCCATTTAAATAATTATCTAATGCTGCCTCAGATGCTTCAATGAAACCTGCCACCAAAACACTCCCAGGCAGTACACTCCAGCATCTAATTATTCAGTGTGAAAAAGTTTTCTTTTTTGCAAATTGATTCAAATCTGTGACTGCTTGGTCCTTTGATTCTTTTATGAGAGGGAACAGTTTCTCCCTGCTTACTCTGTCCAGACCCTTCATGATTTTGCAAACTTCTATCAACCTTCTGTAATGTATTCTGTGAAAGACAGTGCTCAAGTAATTCAGCATTGTTCTGGAATGTCATCATAGATTAGAATCATAGAATCCCTACAGTGTGGAAGCAGGCCATTCGGCCCATTGAGACTACACCGACCTTCCAAACAGCATCCCACCCAGACCCACCCTCCGCAACCCCCCCAACTCTACCCCTATAACCCTACATTTCATATGGCTAATCCATCTAGCCTGCACTCCGCTGGATACAATTTCCCATGGCCAATCCACCGAACCTGCACATCTTTAGGACTGTGGAAGGAAACCGGAGGACCCGGAAGAAACCCACGCAGGCACAGACAGAATGTACAAATTCCACACAGAGAGTGGAATTGAACCCAGGTCCCTGGCACTGAGATTAGTTAATCGTTAAGTGGAGTTTAAAGCTACAAGGTAAACATTGCCTTTTATGTGAAGAACAATAGATACCCGAGATTGATTAGAAGGCAATAATCTCGTCAAGATTTCACAATGCTGCAAGAGCAAAGATTTGGCTACTTATAATCATTACCTGAAATTTGAACTGTTCTTGTAGGTTGTGACCATGTTTAGCTGGCATGACCTGAAACATGATAAAAATCTTTATCATTATGAAGGAGTTTCTTAGAGTGAAGGTGGAGAAGACATTTGTACTCATGGGTGAATCGAGACAAGACACATGAATAGAAGCTAGGGAAGAAACAAAACTAAAGATTTAAGGGGCATTTATTTCCAAGGTGGTAAAAATGTGAAACACACTTGAATAGATTGAAGCTGCATTTAAAGGGAGACTTGATGTATGAGGTAGAGGGCAATAGAGTGACATGAACGAACAGGAGAAAGAACAGGAGATTGTGTGGACTATACAGACAATACTAAACTAACTGAAAGGGACTCTTAGTCATAGAGTGACACAGCAAGGAAACAGGCCCTTTGGTCCAACTCGTCCATGCCGACCAAGTTTCCCAAACTAAAGTAGTCTGATTTGCCTGCATTTGGCCCATATTGCTCTAAACCTTTCCTATTTATGTACATATCCAAATGTCTTTTAAATGTTGAAATTGTACCCACCTCTACCACTTCCTCTGGCAGCTGATACCACCCTCGGTGTGTAAAAGTTGCCCTCAGGTGCTTTTTAAATCTTGCCCATCTCCGACCTCTAGTTTTGGACTCTTATAGGATGGTGAAGATGAAAATTAGAAATTACTGTTAGCACTGAGGCCCCTCTGCTTCCTTGACCCACTTCTCACTGAATTGTTGATCATCACATTTTCCTTCCTGTACTACATATTAGTGGCTTTATAACTGACTCTCTCCTCAGTTATTCTCCCACTGTCCCACTCCTTTTCAAAACTGCCAATATTAAACTGCCAAAAAAAACACCCTTGACCTCTCCTGTCCTTGCAAATTATCATCGTAGCTCCCACCTCCCTCTGCTCTTTGAGAGTGCTGTTACTTCTTAAATCCAAGCCCATCTTTCCTGCAACTTCCTGTTTGAATCAGTAATCATGTTTCCATTCCTATCAACAGCATTGCAATGACATTTATCAAAATCACAAATAATATCATCCCTGACCATATGGTACTTTCTAGCATTGGGCTTCCAAAGTCTGTAATCTGATTGGCTATGGTTCTACATCTCTCCTTTTGTCCAATCCTATGTCCTCCTTTCATTCCACTCTTACCTATCCAACCATAGACATTACAATTACAGCATCTTCACTTCCTCCCATGGCACTATTACCTTCAGAGTTCCCTAAGGATCCATGCTTGACACCTCCAATGCCTTTCCCTCATTTACAAGTTGCACTTTTGTAACATCAAAATCAGATGCTACTTATCTTTTGGAAGCATCTAACTCTGCCTCACCATCAGATCTCTCAACTTCACCACTCCCGATGTGTCTATCCAACATCCAGTCTTGGATGAGCCTGAGTTTCTTTCAGTTAAAGACAGAGGTTATCATCTTTGGCTTCTGAGACAAATCCCAAACATTTGAATTGATACTAATCCCTGCCTGGCCACACAACTATTTGCAGCCTCAACAAGTCATTTTGTCGCAAATGTGAAGTTTGTAATTTCATGTTGGGATCCTTGCAGATTGTCTGAGGACGTCCAGCGGACAATTGTTTTCCAAACTCCAAAAGATACAAGCAAGGAGCCAAAGGATTGGCAGCCTTTGTACATTATCCCACTGTTTAAAAAGGCTGCAAGGGTTAGTCCAAAAACTAATAAACTATTCAATTTGACTCTGGTGGTTCACAAATTGTTGCAATCTGAAGTGATTGTAACGAGGTTAGCCAGGTAGACCTCACTGAATATGAGTTCCCTGATTGGGGCTGTTAATTTGATCCAATCAGGGAGCCCTGGCTGACAGATAAATACAGGAGTGTCTGATATCTTGTCACTCTAGGAGCTGCCTCTGAGGGAGCTGGATCAGTGTCACATGTTAAATAAAGGGTGACTTGGTGACAGGATACTGGCCTGTGAGTTATTTCAGAATCAATTCTAAGAGACAAGATAAACTATCACTTAGAAAAGCAGGGATTAATCATGGATAGTCTGCATGGTTTTGTAAAAGGAATATTGTGTCTTACTAACTACATCAAATTTCTTGAGGAGGTAGCAAGGAGGATTGATGAGGATAGTGCAGTGGACATTGTTTACATGGATTTTTGTAAGGCATTTTGAAAAGGCCCCACAGGGAAGACTTTCAGAAATATAAAATCTCATGGGATACAGCGAATGTGTTGAAGTGGGCCCAAAGTTAGCTCAGTGACGTATAACAGAGGTTAATTGTCAGTGGATGTTTTGTGAATGGAACGCGGATTCTGGCACATTCTATAGAAGTCTGTATTGAGGCCCTTTCTGTTTGTTAAATATATTAATGATTTGGACTTAAATATGGGTGGCATGATTGGCAAATTTGCACATGTCAAAAGTTAGCTGTATAGTTTGAGAGTGAAGAGGTAGCTGTTGTCTCCAGAATCATATCAATCATTTGGTAGAATGGGTGACAATATGGTAAATGAAATTCAATCCAGAGAGGTGTAAGGTCATGCACCGGGGAAGGCAAACTAAACAAGGGTGTGCACAACAACTGGGGGAGTATAGAGAGGGATGGAGGAAGTAAGAGACTTAAAATGTTTGCTCACAGGTCCCTAAATGTGACAGGGCAGTTGAATAAGGTGGTAAGGAATATGGAATACTT